GTACGTATTGCATTGCATTGCATTGCATTGCATTGCATTGTACTTCATTGTATGCTACTGTATGCCATGGTGTATGGTACGGCGTATGGTTATGGTGTATGGTACGGTGTATGGTGTATGGTATGGTGTATGGTATGGTATGGTATGGTGTGTGGTATGGTATGGTATGGTGTATGGTATGGTATTGCATGGTAATAAATGGCATCTTTGGTGACATCAGTATGATACAGCTTAGACTAGTTAATGCTGTTGTTGTTGTTACACGTGGTTTGTTGTAGTAAGAATGCAACAATTTACGGCACGTGTTATTTTATTATGTCATTTAAGTCAAAGAAATAAAATTCGTTGCTTTTATTTAAGAACATAGAAATAAAGTTATCAAGAAAGTAAATGTATAAATTATTGTTTTGCTTCCAGGATAACAGTATCAACTTGTTAAAACGTCAAAGTCGTCTGGTTCATTGCTGTAAAACACCTTTCTTGGTCTGTGATGAGTGGATATCTAGTGTTGAAGAGAAAGCAAACTTGAATGTAAGTAAAAAGGAATGGTAAGAATGGCCAATGGTCTGTCATTGCTTCGACAGATTATGTTTTTTGCTAGCCATCTCCGCAGACAACTCTTGGGCACAACAGGTTTTTATTGGGAATTATTGGGGTTACGTCGAAGGACAATGAAGCCAGGATCATACGAGGATGAGAGTTCATGAGAGTTGGCAGTCACGTGACCTTGGTTCTTCACGCTTCCCAACACTCATGTATTCTATTTAAATGAAAACATAGTTGGAACACTCATCACACCTTTATTTTAGAGCTTGAAATGTCCCCTGTGACAATTCGTGACTGCCAGCTTGATCCCAATAATTCTCCATGAGTTTCCTGCGGCGGAAGCTAGCTCTTTGTATGCACCTGTTATTCTATTTCATCTCATCTCGCCATGATCTTGTTAAAAAGCAGCCCTCATGCACTAAAAATGATATGCATTAGCTTTATTATAAAACAAAAAAAGTTTAATACATTTACTTGCTGGTGTTTTGATGAAATCCTGATTCCCTTGCCTGCTACGTTGTTCACGCAGTTCGTTCATGCCCCCTATTCCCAGGCTTTCTGTCCTTTCCGTCCAAAGGACGTACGTTGAACTTGTGAACGATATTCTTTTTTATATGCCCTAACTTGTTGGTCTTCCACTAACGGGAAATACAGAAGCCATGATTAGCCATCTACTTTATAAAATGAGAAACCATGATTAGCCATCTACTTTATTAAATGAGAAAACTTTCTAAAATCATTGGTTAAAACACACGCCAAATCTCAATCTATGACTATTAATATATTCCAACTATGAAAAATATGACATCGTCTAAGAATAATGCATATTAATAAGGATACGCTTCGGATGTCAATCTTTTGTCACTAAAGTGGCTAATAAAATGGCGGAATACAAAACAATCAAAACATTTTAGCGCGCAAAGCATTACGGTGGGCTGTGACTCATTAAGCCAATGGCAGTGTCACGCAAAAAGGAGAGCATGCAACTATTACCAATAGCACAGAATACTACACAGAAGTCCATCTCCATTGTTTTTAGCGTAAGCTCTATTCGTCATGATTCGTCACTCAGCAAGTACCGTGAACAGAAGCAGTCACCCCCCTGGACGTGCGCCATTTTTAGTATTTCCAGGGGGGTGACTGCTTCTGTTTGCGGTACTTGCTGAGTGACGAATCATGACGAATAGAGCTTACGCTAAAAACAATGAAGATGGACTTCTGTGTAGTATTCTGTGCCAATAGTGTACCAACTTCCTAAACCAAGCACGAAAGGGCATATGCGTTCAGTATCATGAAAATTATTGTGTAGGGGCTGAAACCCAACCATGTTCGGTATTGCCTAGATAGGAAATTGGTCATCAGTGGCTTGTCTTTCACAACAGGTGCAGGAAGCTAAATCTTAGTTAAGAAAGCTGCGGATTGATAGGGATATAACTACCTGAAAAATACAAGCAAAACTTCGATGTTTCCACCAGAACCAAAAATTCACAAGACATAGCTTCTTTATTTGTCGATAAAACAACAACAATTTCACGTTAATATACATTACCGGTTTTACGCTTAAGAATAAGAATCAAAATACAAGACAGAGCACATTAATTTTGTTTAGTATTTATATATTTAAGGTAGTGATGGAGTAAAGCATGCAACGTAATATACAGCAACAAATTTCATAATACTGATAATAAAAGGCCACTAAGTGATAGACTGGAAATCTTTGCAAATATACATGAATTATTAATCTTGAAAAAAGTCCATTTGTGTGGACTCCAAGCCCTAGTTACCACAACACGCTGGCAGACTTGGGAACAATGTTTGTAACTTCTGGGATCGTAATAAATAGCGATTTAACGCTCGTGGCATCTTGGCTTTCAGCGATGCATGGTCGTTTCTGCAACGTATCCTCATCGGGAATATCGATTATCACGCTTTCACACGAGAATTTCGGACTAGCAGTATCTTCATTGCGAGGCCCAGAGCTTTGGTGGAATTGTGGTTTCTTCTTGCAGCAGAAACGGCTGCAAAGCCTGAAGTGGAAAAATATTTTGTGTGAGGAAGTGGAAAAATATTTTGTGTGAGGATCGAATGCGAAGATATGTGAAGGAGTTAGGAAGACGTATTGAGAAAAGGATGGTAAAATTAAGGAGTTGTAGATAGATTCAAGGCACGAAGACAGAGAGGAAGATGCAGATGTTGGAAGGAAGGAAGAATGGGTTGACGGATAAAAAGAATGAGAGAAAGGAAGGGATGACGGGTGGAAAGCCGGAGAAAGCGACGAAGGGAGGAAAATGGAAAGAAGGGAGGAGAAGAAGGAAGGATGCAGGGAAGGAGGAAGAGGAGATGAGCAAGGTGGAAATAAGAAGGAAGGAGGGAGAGTCAGAGGGAGTAAGGAGCAAAGAAGGAAGGAAGGAAGGAAGGAAGGAAGGAAGGAGGGAGGGAGGGAGGGAGGGAGGGAAGAAGGAGGGAAGGAGGGAGGGAGGGAGGAAGGAAGGAAGAGTGGGTGGGCAGACCGAAGAGGGAAGGGGGATTGAGAAAGCAAGGACTCAAGATGGAAGGAGGGAGGGAGGAAAGACGAGAGTAAGGAGGAGGGTGAAGAAAGGAGGGAGGAGGAAATAAAGAAGGGAGGAGGAAATAAAGAAGGGAGGGGAAAAGAAGAAGAATGAAGGAAGAGTGGAAGAAAGGGAGAAGGTGGGTTGGAAGAAGAAAGGGAGCATGTAGGTGTTGGGAATAATGAGGTATGAATGTGGGTTTAACAAAGGAAGAAATGAGGAAGGAAGGTAGGAAAGAATAAATGAAGCATAGAAGGGAGAGGGAGTGAGAGATGGAGAAGGATGAAGAAGGGAAGGAGGGAGTAAGAAAGGAAGAAAGAAACGAAAGAATGATTAATATTTTCATTACCTGATTACACTGTATATCACAGCACTGACTATAACAGTGGCAATAACACCAATCGCCACGCCAATGATCATACCCTTGTTAAAACAGGGCTTATTGAAATCTTCAAAAAATTTAATGAAGCCAATTGCCTTTTCTGAAATAAAAGACGGAAAGAAGATTACACGAATACAAAACCTTATTTGAACGAGAGACTTGCATAATGAAGTAGTTCTAGTGTTGTTTGGTTACCTGGGCAACGGTAGAATGGGCATCCTTCTGCTTCACTGCTGTTATTATTGGTGGAATTCTTCTGTAGAGCTGGGAAACAAAATAAATATGTGATTACATTATGATGGAGTTTTGTCGTTCTTCTTGCCAGCAACTAGTTGCTGGTGTTGGTGGTGTTGGTGTTGGTGTGTTACTGTGGCTGTTGTAGTTGTTGTTTTCTCATTATTCTTCGTTTTCTTTTGCTTACCATAAGCCCTAAACGTAGGCGGGTCAATAAAAATTGCCGCCGATTTATTTTTGTTGCCTTCAAACATGAGGCGAATCTCCCAACTGAAGGTTTTGTTTAGACGCAAAAGGACTGCCACTCCTTTCATAATGCCTTCTTCCTTATTGCCATTCATTTCGTCATTCACTTCTTCGTGACCTGATTCATTCAACGCGTGATCGCATGCCAGATGTCCATTTTCCGTTCATGGGAAATTTAGCAGAGACGTAGTTCACTTTGCGCGCGAACACATGATACGGTTCAGTTTGCTCTTCTGTTTGCCATTGAACTCGGGCTACGTTCCTGCCCGACCAAGTCGCACTAATAGGCAGAGAGTTGTGTGCTATATAAAAAATAATTATTTATATACTCTGATTGGTGACAAGACAAATTCCAAAACGATGCAGGATAACTTTTGCATGCGCGCGGATGAGTTCAGCACTCGCGCAATTAGAAAACATCACAATTAAATTAATGAACCCCCAATTTTTGGCCAACCGATACAACTATATTCTATTGAAATTTAGCAAGTTAATTTTCTTTAAATTTGCAACCAAAACAACTGTGTTCTATTCCTGCCAAAACGCAACTATAAAAACTGTAGTATCTAGCATAAATTGTTTCGATTTGCTTTTTGTTACAGTAAGCAAAATTATATTTCGCACATTCGCAAAATGAATGAACGCGGTATTTCTTCAGTCGCCAAAAGGAACAACAAATATTTTTTTTTGTCATACATTTTGAAAGTTGAAAATGAATGAACGCGGTATTTCTTCAGTCGCCAAAAGGAACAATAAATATTTTTTTTGTCATACATTTTGAAAGTTGAATATGAACTTGTTTCCTGCAACAGCTTGCCCGTGGAGCAAATGTGGAACTGTTCCTTCCAGAAAATAGTATAAAAAGACAAGTTTAAATCTTACCTCTAAACTGGCACTTCTCGCCATAGAATGCGTCCTGGCAAACACATTTCACACCCTCAGGTGCTAACATGCCCACAGCCCGAGGTGGGCAAACACTTTCAGCCTCGCAGTTGCAAGAGAAAACACACATACCAAGAAAAATCGCGAGGAAAATGCGGAGTAAAAATCCGCACGACTTCATCGCTCAATCGCTTAATTAGCTTTGATATAATTCGTTGTGTTCGTCATAATTGGACGGTTGCCTACAAGCATAGATTATGCTACAAGTCTCCCGCCCCAGTTCACCTGAACATAACTTCGGCCCCTTCGGACGTAACTTCTTTGTAAACACTACTTATAGCTTGTCCGGTGCGGCGGTGTGGATATACTGCACTCAGATTAACATATGGCGACAAAATTAAGAGACAAGTTATGTTTTGCATGGGCTGGCGATTTTGAATGCCTAAAGCGGTTTGTTAGCGAAGATCTGCAGCTCAATGGAACATGCATGGTCTCAACCTGGCGGTGACAAAAAGCTATTTACCTTTGATGATTCAGTAATAATATGGAAAAAGAATAAAAACTTGTTGTATCTTGATGGCGAGAAAGCGGGCGATGTTATGAACGAATTATGCAAGCAGATATGTAAGCAGGACGAGGACATTTCAGTTGCTAAGCAATCAAGCATGCAAGATGTTTGTGAAGACCTCGAAAGTCTTAAGCTTGGCCAATTAACCAATTCCGAAGCGATCCAAGCTATATCGGAATCGATTTCTA